TGGAGTCTGTTTCTGACCGTTTGAGCAGACACATGCAGATTTGTGGCCCGCTGGAGGTCATTTTGCAGGGCTCTGGCAGTGCTCCTCCTGTCCCTCCTTGCACAAAGGTGGAGGTAGTGGTCCTGATGCTGGGTTGTTGCCCTCCTACGGCCTCCTCCACATCTCCTGATGTACTGGCCTGTCTCCTGGTAGCGCCTCCATGCTCTGGACACTACGCTGACAGACACAGCAAACCTTCTTGCCACAGCTCGCATTGATGTGCCATCCTGGATGAGCTGCACTACCTGAGCCACTTGTGTGGGTTGTAGACTCCGTCTCATGCTACCACTAGAGTGAAAGCACCGCCAGCATTCAAAAGTGACCAAACCATCAGCCAGAAAGCATAGGAACTGAGAAGTGGTCTGTGGTCACCACCTGCAGAACCACTCCTTCATTGGGGATGTCTTGCTAACTGCCTATGCTTTCAACCTGTTGTCTATTCCATTTGCACAACAGCATGTGGAATAGATTGTCAATCAGTGTTGCTACCTAAGTGGACAGTTTGATTTCACAGAAGTGTGATTGACTTGGAGTTACATTGTGTTGTTTAAGTGTTCCCTTAATTTTTTTGAGCAGTGTATATGTAAACCAACATAGTCATTGAACTTTAAACCTACCAGGCAATAAACTGCTGAATTGTTGAAACTGTAGCTTAACCTAAATAATATATATTGATGAAATTGTTTACAATTTTTTTAAGATATGTAGCTTACAAAACCCATACTGGGCTGTGATCTTACTCCATTCTATTATCCCAGTTGGAGGTTGGGGCCAGGAGTCAGGGACGCGCATCTGTGTAGTGTCTGCGCTCGTTCACGAGCATGTAAACACCTGATCACTGCAGGGGACCGAGCCCGCTGATTCTTTTTAACAAGGAAAGCCCGGATCCATCGCGGCGCCCCCTTGTTGATTACAGTGCGGTGTTTCCTCTGCGCAGAATGACGGATAGAGAGGTGTCTGGACTGGAGGATCAGAGCGAGGACAGCGGCCTGCTGCTGCGGGGCTACAGGCGGCTGACTCGGCTGTACTGCATGAATGGCGGACACCACCTCCAGATCGTCCCCGATGGCACAGTGCAGGGCCTCAGAGATGACAGGGACGTTTACAGTAAGACCGCAGCACACTGCGCATTTTACATCCAGGCCAGGAAAACAATATGACGCGTTCACTTCCTTTATTTACTGCAGGAGTGTCGGAAGAAAGTGTGAGAAACGAGCCTTTCGATGATATTTTAAAGCGGGGTGCTGTTAATCTTCGGCTTGGAAAAATCCCAGTAGTTCTGATTTATGTTCTCTGTAACTGCATTTACCGAACTTGTCTGATGGGGAGGAGGGTTGTGGTTAGGATGCATAGTGGGGGTTTAAAGTTACTTAGCAAAACTACCATGCATAGTATGTTTGTGTATACAGTGGTTTCAGAAAGTATACAGACCCCTTGACCTTTTGCACACTTTGTGTTCTAAACTAAAAATATGTTTGCAAATTTATTAAAAACCTGAAATCTTTCATTTACAAACTGTTCAGCACATTTCCTGTGGCACTCCAACATATGGTCAGGTGCATTCTGTTTGTATTAATTATGCTTGAGGTGTGTCTAGAACTTGATAGACCTTTTTTCATAGACGTTTTAGCATGTCATAACAGGAAAACCACAGGTGCAACTGAAATGGAGTCATTGTCATTAACTAGATTTGTTTCACCTGTACTTTTCCTGCTGTGACAATTCAAAGTGGCTGCTGTGATTTGGGCAAATGCAATTGATTGGGCGTATTTTAAGAGAGATGTTTGTGGATACAAGGTCCCACAATTCGGTGTATGTCAGGACAAAAACCAGGCCATGAATTTTAAGGAGCTCTCTAGATCTGTGAGATAAACTTGTGGTGAGCCATAGATCAGGACGAGGGTATAAAACCATTTCTAAGGCTTTGATTGTTTCTAGGAGCACAGCGGCCTCATTAATTGTGAAATGGGAGAAATTTGGAGCCACCAGCACTTTTAATAACTGGGCAAAAAGGGCCTTAGTCAGTGAGATGGCCAAGAACCCAACAAATAACAGAGAAGTCCTCTCCAGAAGAAGTTCAGAAGTCCTCTGCAGAGATGGAGAACCTGCCAGAAGGGTGGCCATCGCAGCAGCTGTCCATCAATCAGGTCCTTACAGTACAGTCACTAGACAAAAGACACATAGCTTGACAAACAGCTTTTAGAGGACTTGGGTAGAACTCCTAGCACCAGGTTTGAATGCCAGGCACTGCTCATCATCTGCTAATTCTATCCAAGCATGGTGGAGGCAGCATCATCCTTTCGGGGTGTTTCTCTGCAGCAAGCTGGTCAGAATTGAGGGAAGAGTGAACGTAGCCAAATCCAGAGAAGAAAACCTGCTCCACAGCGCATGACCTGAACAGCAAAGACATCACTGGAGTGACTTAAGGACAGGTGTCTGACCTTCCTTGAGTGGCCCAGACAAAGCTCTGACTTAAACCACACAGAACACGTGTGGAGCCGCGTGAAGATGGCAGTTTACAGACACTTCCTGCCCAGTCTGATGGATCTGAAGAGGATCTGCCAGAAAGATAAAACTACCCAAATCCAGGTATGTGAAGCTTGTAGAGATGTACTAGGAAGACTTGAAGCTGTACTTGCTTGCTGCCATAGGGGTTTCAACAAAGTAACGAATTATCAGTCTGAAAATTGATTACTAAGTGTAGATAGAGGAGCAAATCAAATCTACAACTGCAAAAAGTGAAGGGGTCTGAATGCTTTCTGATGCTACTGAATTGTATGAACTATGTTATTTAAGTGCTGGCTGAAAGGTAAAACCTCTTCAAGGACCTCAGGCAAGTCCACTAACCACAGCAAATGTGTCATTTAATGGTTGGAGGAAATCTGGCAGTCAACATTTCATACTAATGCCTTCTCTTAGTTGTTGTGTGCTGATGAATAATGTGCCTGGCAGTCAACATTTCATACTAATGCCATCTCTTAGTAGTTGTGTGCTGATGAATGGTTACCATCTAACCCTTTTATTGGTTTAAAAAAAAGGGGGGCTTATCCGCTTCCTATGCTGAAGAGACTGGCTTTGACATAAGAGTCCAAGATAGCAAGGATGCTCTAAAATTGATTTGGTTGCACTTACCACACTGTGTCATGATACTTGAGCCAGCCATCATTCATTTACTTGCACAACTCAAGAGCAAAGGCTTGAAATGCTTAGTCTTCTCTGTCAGCCGGCTGTAGCTGAATGAATATTTCACACTGACACCATCATCTCAGATTTGTGATGATGGGGGGTTTTTTGTTGTTTTTTTTTTTAAACCAGAGAAGTGGCCCATGTTGGCATAGGTGTATTTATAAAGTTCAGCTGTAGCCATGTTATTTCTTTGCACCTTATTTCAAACTTTCTCTTTTTAGCTGTTTTAAAGATAAAATCCGTGAACAGAGGTGTGGTGGTCATCCAAGGAACAGAAGCTGGGCGATATCTGGCTATGAACGATGAGGGGCGTTTATACAGTTCAGTGAGTAGCCTCTCTCTCCATGATGTTTTATGTCAGTGGTTTAGTTTAGGCTTTTTTTTGTAGTTAAATACTTGATTACTCAAAATTGTACTGTACAATAGTACTTTAAACCATTGACTCGGTATAAAAATGGACAACATGACAGCTCCCAGAAGCGACACCATAGTGACGTGAGTCGATCTGATTATGGTGCCATAAACTCAGTCTATGCTTCAAATGTTAAAGCTCAAATCAAACGACCAAATTCCTCTGTAAGTGCTGACGGCGAACGGTGCTTGTTCTGTGTTTTTCTCTCAGCCCACAGTCACTGATGAAAGTTACTTCCTGGAGAAACTGGAGGAGAACCACTACAACACGTATCAGCCTCAGAAATATCAGGACAGGACCTGGTACGTAGCCTTGAAGAAGAATGGAAAACCTAAACTGGGTCCAAGAACTCACATCGGACAGAAGGCTGTCTTCTTTCTGCCCCGTCAGTTGGATGACTCTGGAGAGTGAGGACGTTTTATCTCAACGCACTGTGGCACCTGAACCAAAAGGACCTGGAACCTGCTAGAGGCTGGCTATGTTTTCGTAAATACACATTTCATTAGCTAAAATCACTATTTGTGCTGGTAACAAGGTGAAGAGGTGAAAGAAGCGGTGTGAAAATGTATTGGGAAAAGGAGTGGCTGCAGTTTTGTTTAAGTACTGGTCTTAGTCTTAGTGATGCATTAGAGCTAAGATACTATGCACTTTTTTTATATCAGCTCTTTGTTCAAATTAGCCTGATAACATCCTAGAAGATGGATCTGGATGCAGGTATAGATCAGGAATTGATATAAAGGATCACTGAAGTGGGAAAAATGTTTTTAAAAAGGCCAATTTTTTTTCACAAACCAATGCACTTTTACTTGAATGTTAAAAGACATGCAACCCATCTAATCAGATCTATAGATGATCCATTTTACTGGCTTGGATAATCACATGCATCGAGTCCGTTTTACCGGTAATTTGATTATTCTGTAGCAGATTAGAACATACTGATGGCTTGAAAAGGCTTTAGAGCAACTTGCTGCCCTGCATGTGTGACAAAGGTTCAGAGTTGCACCTTTCTCTGCCTTATGGATGTTGCTTCACATTTTATATTTAATGCCCCTACCCCCAATTGCTATAGCTTTACCCTGACTAAATAACCCTTCTTCCCAGATTGTGAATATGTGGAAATTGTGACTGTACAATGTATGACACTGGATATCGTTGTAGGATCAGGAATCCAGATAACTCAGGCTTGACACATTAAAGGTGACATTTATTTAACACTAAATGTTTTCTGTACAGTTTAATAACAATCAAAACCCCAAGGTTGCAGCTATACATCACAATGAAATAAGCACAATGGGTCTGTAACAAAGTCATGACAGAAGTATGTCAATCATCAAGAACTCTGTTACTCCGAGGTGCCGCTTCCTCCAGACTCTAAAATGGAAACAAAAAGCATAACTTCTTTCTTCTTATTTGTCTGGGGCTACAAACCATGATGGGAGCAATCCTGTGGGTTTTATAGCTTTCTAAAAGTGCACCTGCATTCTTTGACATAGTTTGATAGAAGATGGCTAACCTCTTACACCCTATGGAAAAAAAAAAATTCCCATCCACTTCTGTTCATTTAATGTTGAGGCAAAACATCCAGCTGGAAATTGAGTTTTTCTGCTCTAAGATAATATGATGCGAATGTCTGAGCAAGATCATTATCAGCTAACATGCAGACTCTGTAATCAGAGGTCTTTCGCCGCCAGCGAATGTGACACAGGTTCACCGAGTTGCTGAAAGGTCACGCTATTAAAGCATTAATGAGCCTTTTGAAGAATTGAACTAGAAAAAGTGCTCAGACACCTATGGAAATCATCCGGGTTACTGTCATCATCCAAAGTTTTAGCATCCTTCACCATCAATGGAGCTGCTGTGGCAGTTTGTTACTATTAGCTGCAGCTTGTTCTTGTTTAAAAAAACAAAAAATGAAGCTCATCTAAAACAGCTGCATCTTCAACTCTATTTCCAGCATGGATAGTTTTTGCCTGATTTAACAAAAAACAAAACATTTCACAAGCAAAATAAGTTCTTACACTTGAATGCAATTTTGACACTGCATTTTAATCACAAGCATGTATGATTATGACAATGTCCCTAATGAACCGTTTCTATCTTAAAAGGAGCAGACAACACTGCTCCCTCCTGGCTGGGAAAAAGGGCAACACTACTTAAAGCCAACAGGTGAGGTGAAATATGTGGTAATGCATATATATTAGCATTTACAGTAATGAAAGCTTGCTTTTTTTTAGGTGGGAGTGGTATCTAAAAACAGCCTATAATAGTCACACTAGAACCATGAAGTCAAATTAGTGCACATTACAAAGCGTGTTTGCATGCTATGACCAGTCCACAGTCGATGACCTGTTGGCTTCAAGGGTCACCAACAGGAGGCTCTCCCTATCCATTGACCTTAAGGGCAGATGCATGCTACCATCAAATGACATAAGGCATTATTTATACATTACAGACAGATGCAAATAGCACTTAACATTTGCCACTAATGAGTACACTGAGGGACAACTACCTTATTAACCATTTTCCACTGATTAAGCTGCAAAACAAAAAAAACTGTTGATATAATTCCTGAATATTTTAGAGAGCCGGCTTCTGGTTAAATGATAGATTCGGGATATCAAGTTGGTTCTAATACAATACTGATGTGCCCATATGTACGTGAGAAGAGCTCTGTTGTTGTAACCTCTCCTCACCGACCCTGAAGACTTCCACCTGGAATGTAAAATACACTCATTCTGTGCTAAAATGCCCTCCAAAGTTCATCTGAGGCTCAAATGAACCTTCCCAGTAAGCTCCATCAAGTCTGTATTTTCCAAAGTTACAATATATTTAAGACATACAGTATCTGACTTTGTCTCCTAGGATAGTAGTTCCTTGCCGGGCTGTGGTGGAGGGATATGCAGTAATAGTTGTGTGTAGGTTTGTTGTTGTTAGCCAGTGTTTACTTCTAAAGTTGTGCTCAGAGTTCACTCTGAAGTCAGTTTGTTCTTTACAGATTTCATATCTGGAATTTTTATGGTTTTGGGACACCAATAAAACCCGCTCTGAATCTGTGTCTGGGTTATAGTCTACGTGTGTTTATCACATGTCAGTATCCTCATCTGCACCTTGCACACAGGAGAACATGGTTTATGTCTGCGTTTATCCAGGGTGTTCGGAAAGAAGCAAACGATGGATAAAACCATTTCACTTGAGAGATCCTCAAACACTGATTAGTGGTCAAAATGGATAGAAATACAATGTGCACAGCTAAGCCAATTACTTGTATGAGGACCCAATTTCCACAGTAATGTAAGGAGAGAAAATGCAAAGCACAGCTGTACCATCATCACAGCTGTTAGTGTATTTTCACTTATCTTCCAGGGGCATGTTATGATAACCGAGAGGCTCTGATATTGATGTGCAGTTAGGTTTTGTATGCTTTGCATACACAGATTCCTCCCGAAATTCAGTGTCCGATATTGGTAATAGTTTATACTGTTTCTAATTCCCTCTGTTTTATGCTCCGACTCATGTTGGACTCTGCCAAGGCTGCCCCTTTGTCACCGATTCTGTTCACTATTTTATGGACAATTTCTAGGTGCAGCCAGGGAGCAGAGGGTGTCTGTTTTGGTGGCCATGGAATCTCGTCTCCGCTCTTTGTGGATGATGTGGTTCTGTTGGCTTCATCAGTTCAAAACCTACAGTGTGCACTGGAGGGGTTTGCAGCTGAGTGTCAAGCGGTGGGGATGGGTCTTGTTCACGAGTGAGGTAAAAATGGAGCGGCAGGTTGACAGATCGGTGCGGCGTCTGCAGTAATGCAGTCTCTGTACCAGTCCGTTGTGGTGAAGAGGGAACTGAGTCGTAAGATGAAGCTCTCAATTTTCCGGTCGATCTACGTTCCTACCCTCACCTATGGCCATGAACCGAAAGAATGAGATTGTGGATATAAGCCGCAGAAATGAGCTTCTTCCAGAGAGTGGCTGGGCGTGCCCGTAAGGAGCTCAGAGTAGAGCCCCTGGTCCTCCGTGGTGAGCAGAACCAGTTGAGGTGGCTCGGGCACCTGTTTAGGATGCCTCCCTGGGGAGGTATTCTGGGCATGTCCCTCCGGCAGAAGGCCTCGGGGCAGACCCAGGAGACGTTAGAAACTAGGTCTCCCGGCTGGCCTGGGAACGCCTTGGGGTTCCTCCTGAGGAGCTAGAGGGGGTTTGTGGGGAGAGGAAAGTCTGGGAGGCTCTGCTCAGGCTACTGCCCCCATGAACAGGTCTCAGATGAAGATGGATGGATGGATTATGCTCTGACTCGTGATACAGCTTAACAGCTGTAATTCAATTTTTTTTCTATTGCTCGTAACCATAGTCTGAGGGATGTGACCATTTCTTATTTGTGCCTTTTTTCATGTGGTTGTAATCCAATTTCCTTTTAACTAGTCTTTTTATCATATTTATTATTGCTTTTAGGTACAGTATAAGGGTTGTGGCGCTTTTTTTTTCTCCTCATCTCTTCCACGACTGTTTTATACTACAGTATGTATTATTACATAGAGCACTTTGGCCAAGTGATGTTTTGAAATATGCTTTATAAATAAACTGACATCTCTTTACTCACGTGAGTAGAGTCGGCTGTAGTAACAAAGCCCACAGGCGCATAGGAGAATGTATCCCTCTGCCATAGCTCGGCAAGGAAGTACTTTTCCGGGTAACAAAAAAAGCTAAATATGTCTTAAGCAGACCATAGCTTTAAAAGATACCAACTCAGATGACCTTAGTGGGACGGCTGAGGCTTCATTAGAGCCTCAGAAAACTTTGGAGTGCAATTTTTACATTCAGTCACAGTCCAGGTGAGTGTGGAGAAGAGAAGTTACAGACTAGGTACAATTCTCATGTGCATATGGGCACATCACTACTGTGTTAAGACCAACTTGAAACTCCTAAACCTATCCTTTAAGTGTCTTCAGTTTAATTTCAAACTCGTTGCAGTGTTGCTGCTTGTGGTGGTCATGTCCAGTTCTTCACATCCAACAGCCTGAGTTTAGGTTATGGAAAGATACAAAAATTAAATTAGAAAAAATTGACTGTTTTCAGCAGTGACATTAACAACTCTAACATGATTAAGACAATTTCAGCCACTCCTAAAGTCCAGTACTCATCCAACTAATTTAACATGAGTATCATGTAAAGACCCAGTCACTGCAGGGTCTACTGAGACTCAAAACAAACCAACAGCATAAGCTACTCTGAACTGCTCTGACCCTTCTGTCACATCCTGTTTCCTAGTGATGACACAAAATACAGGGTAACTAAAGCCCACTTTAACAAGCAACCACTCAGATGAGCTGAGTGATAACGGTGACCCTGAATGATTTACAACCCCAAATCAGAGAAAGTTGGGACAGTATGTAAAATCAAAATTAAATCTGAAAATGGTGATTTGTAAACCATTAGGTGTTGCAGGCATTAGAACTGGAGTGTTTACTCTAAAGAATGAAACTGAGGCAGTATCACATCAATGTGCTGCTGTATCATTTTCAGTGTAATACAGGATACATGATTTACACATCACTATTTGCAGTTTTACTTTCACATACCGCGCCAACCTTTTCTGATTTGGGGTTGTAAAAAAAAAATCTAAATCAGCCAGAATAACATAACACACCTTACCTCTAGTAGATGAAAAGCACCCTTGTTCGGGGAAGGGTGGTGTAGGTGGGATCGGCCAATTTACGCACTCTGGAGTAGTTAACAAAGCCTCTGATGAACAGCATGAAGCCTAAAGTCCAAAGAAAAGATATGTGATTCAAGAAGTTAAAAATCATACAACATAAGAGATGGTAAAATTTGTTTATAAAATAACTAATGTAGCTTACCCAGGGCCAGGAACACCCACCACAACCAGTACTGCCCATCAAAGTAGCCAGGGAAATAGGTGGAAAACTGGGGGGAAAATTTAAATTTTCAATCCGTTGGACATGATTGAAGACAGTTAAAACAGATAAGAACTACTAATCCTGCACCTTCACACTACTGAACATCTGGGCCCGTATTCACAAAGCTTCCTAAGCCTAAAAGTTGCTCCTAGTGACGAAATTCTAAGAAAACTTTAGAGTTATATGTTTTTTTAGAATTTCCCCTTAAATTTAGGACTAAATCTTAGTAAAGATAAAAGTGATTCACGAAACATCTTAGCTCTAAGAACAGCTCCTAAGGTAAAAATCCGTAAGAGTAGAGAGGAGGACTTTTAAGCGGCTTAAGAGTTCCTCTAGCAGCGGACAAAATGGTGGAAAGAAGAAATATTCTCGAAACAA